ACGTCAGGATCCAGGGTTAACGGTTTAGGGTTTAGGGTTTAGGGTTTAGGGTTTAGGGTTTAGGGTTTAGGGTTTAGGGTTTAGGGGCAATCTGATGTGTCCAGGGTTCTTCAGGTTTTAAATCAATGAGAGCGGTCCTATCGAAACGGCATAGACTGTGGCTAATGTAGGGTCTAGAGTATGTTTGATAGGGATACTGTGCCCGAAGCCCAACCTGCATTGTCCCAAGTCTCGCTTTCCGCGCAAGGCATTAGTTCCATGCAGACGAACTTGAACCCGACATAAAACAAACAGTCATATTAAGGAGCCCTGAGCTACGGCATGGGGTTACTATTCAGGCCCGATAACCTGTCAGTAAAACCCTAAACCCTAAAGCCTACGCCCTGTCGTGAACCGTCCTGAAAGAAAGCGGAGATGGAGGTGCTCAGGAGGTAGTTGTAATTCAAAGTGGACTCGTCAGAGTAAGGTCCATAGGGCCCTCTCTTGGGGAAGGCGTGCTTCTCAAGGAGCTGAATCATCTCCTCGACTCTTGAGTTGAGGGCTCAGAGTTGAGGGGTTTAGGGGTTGAGGGCTTAGGGCTCAGGGTTTAGGGCTTAGGGCTCAGGGTTTAGGGTATGACAGTAGAGGGAGAGTTGCGGGTTTAGGGTTGCAGGGGCTCAGAGATCAGGTCGGAATCATCTCCTCTCGACTCTTCTTCTTGATGTCAAGCTGACCGGAGTTGACCTCGCGGTAAAAACGCACCTCCGCTGCGACGTTGTCCTTCTGACGAGTGAGCTCCTTGATCAACTTTTCCTTCTTGCTTGCAGTGATGGGGCCCTCCTTGACCACCATCGTTTCGCAAAGGTTTGCCACCGTGGCAGAGTGGCAGCAGTCGAAGACACAGATAGCCTTGCAACCGGGCGGCAAAGGATCGTAGAGCTTCTCATGGATCTCGGTGTCCAAAATGACGGAATCTGGCCACTTCCTGTCGATGATGAGGTCAAGCGGACAGATGCAATCTGCCGGCATACCTTTCTCATCTGCTGAATATTGTGAGCCATGGCCACTGTAATGGAAAACCAAGGTATCTCCACTTCTTACATCCTCGCGGGAGCTCAACACTCAGATACCAAACACAACAACACTACTACGAATCTGGGTTGTAGTTCGGGGCCCTGAAAAGTATTTGTGAATAGGTACCTCTATCGAAACCATAAGGGAATTTTCCAAACTTTCCTCAGATTGCCCTAAACCCTAAACCCTAAACCCTAAACCCTAAACCCTAAACCGTCCTACGAACACAGAGCAAGCAGAAAAGGGCCCCGAGGCCTGAGCCGTAAACCCCAAAATCCGCGAAGGGAGGCCTGGTGCTAGACAGCTTGTCAGCTCTTGGCTAGTAGGAAGTACCTATAGTCTCCATGGTAGTTCGTTTTTGGGCCGTATAAAATCCTTAAGATATAGTTGGTTAGACCCAAAAAAGGAACTACAATGGATACTATAGGTAAGGGTATATCAGGACTCCCAAGTACCCTTCAATCGAATCCTTATCATCCTGAATAGTAAGTATTGAGAGTATATTAGAGGGTAGCTTGGGGGGTCTGAGTCTAGGTAGTTAAGTCTGTAGTTGGAGGTGTCGTTGTATTCGGGGTGTGAAAGCTCGCCTGCTGCCAGTCCGGCCTTCCGAGGGCACAGTGATGTTCCGACACTGTATAACTGCCACGATGCCTGGAATGTCAAGCCTCTACGATTGGAAGTATGGCCCCCTAATATGGACCCTTAGGCCTTTCTAGGGACCCTTTAAGAGTAAATATAGGGTATATAGTAGGTGTATAGGGATCCCAGGGTTAAGGGCCCATACTAGGGGCCCATGGGTTCAAGCCTAGAAAGCCTGGCCATCTTCTACGGTTTTGGGTTTTGGGTTAAGGGTTTAGGGTTTAAGGTTTAGGGGTTTAGGGTTTAGGGTTTAGGGTTTAGGGCTTTGGGGTTTTAGGGTTTTCGTAATTTAGGGTTGAGGGTTTTAGGGTTTAGGGTTTAGGGTTGCCACGTTGAAACCATAGACATGGAAATATGGACGGGACCCTAACCCAACACATTGAATCGCAAACCAGCAGCCCCAAACCCCAAATCCTGGATACAACCCGAAATCCTAAACCCGAAAACCCTCAACCCCCAAACCCTAATTCAAGTAAGTCCTGGTAAAGCCAGTCCATCCCCTCGAAGATAACCTTCTTGAAAGGCCAGCTACTCTTTTCTTGGTCCTGGCTCCGGTTTTAGGGTTTTTCTAGTTGTAGGGTTTACGGTTAGGGGTCTAAGGTTCAGGGATTCTAGGGTGTTTTTAAAGGGCGACGGCTTTAGGGGTTGAGGGGGTTTAGGACTGTAGGGCCTTAGGAATCAGGGCTGGCGGTTTAGGCTCGAGATCGTTTCTTGGGCAGTTCAGATTGGGGCTTTCGGGCTTCAGGATCTGAGACGTGAGGCTCAAACCAAACTCCAAAAGCCCGGAAGCCCTAAACCCTAAACCCTAAACCCCAAACCCTAAACCCAAACTCCAAAAGCCCGGAAGCCCTAACTTTGACGAGTGCCTAGCTTTCGGTGACCTGCTTAAGGCTAGGCTTGCCTTTGGGCAGGGGTGAGAAGGCCTCAGGGTTTAGGGCTTTGGAGGGGTTTAGGGTTTAGGGTTGAGGGTTTTAGGGTTGAGGGCTTTGGGGTTTTAGTGATTTAGGGTTGAGGGTTTTCGGGTTTAGGGTTTAGGGCTTTGGGGGTTTAGTAATTTAGGGTTGAGGGTTTTAGGGTTTAGGGTTTAGGGCTTTGGGGCTTTAGTAATTTAGGGTTGAGGTTTTTCGGGTTTAGGGTTTAGGGCTTTGGGGTTTTAGGGTTTTAATAATTTAGGGTTAAGGGTTTTAGGGTTTAGGGTTTAGGTTTTTAGGGTTGTAGTAATTTAGGGTTTAGGGTTCAGGGGCTTACCTCCCAGACCCGAAACACTAGCTAGGTTTGGCTTCGGGAGGCGGAAAGACACAGCACACCCCCGTTGCAGTGTTACCCACTCACCCTAAGCCGCAAACCCTAAACCTCGGGTTTAGAGTTTAGGGTTTTAGGGTTTTGGGCTTTGGGCTTTGCGGTTGTAGGGTTGAGAGTTTAGGGCTTGATGGTTTTAGGGTTTAGGGTTTAGGGTCTAGGAGTTTAGGGATTACAGTATAGGTTTTAGAGGTCAGGGTTTAGGGTTTCAGGTCCGAGGGTTTAGGGTTTTAGGGTTTAAGGCTGGGGTAATGCTGCTGGGCCTTTCAGACAACAGGGCAACCCAATAAAACCCTAAGTGGTGGGATCGTACCTTTAATTTTACCAATAGGAACCCTCACTCTAAGTAGGAACGACGAGCTTTTTAGAAACCCCACCGCAATCTTGTGCGATATATTTGGGGGAAATGCGCAGGAAGAGAGTTAGAAACTGCCGCCGTTCCTACTCCGACCGCCCTGTTGCTGTCATCATGAAGCAGCTGATGGGGCTCGGCTCTCTGTAGCCCCAAAACCCATCCCCCAGCATCAACCCGGGAAGTGAAAAGCCTTCACAACCGCGAACCGCGAGGCATAAAGCCCTAAACCCCCAAACACTAAATCCCTAAACCTCTCTAAACCCCCTACATAATCCCCTAAGCCCCAAGCCCTAAACCCTACCTAAACCACAATAAACCCGAGGTCCTCGTTGATCATCCGTATGTCCTCGAGCTTGAAACCATACTGCTTCACGAGCATCTCCTTCGAGCCATAGATGCTCTGCTTTTTTGGCTTTTAGGGTTTTACAGCTTTTTGGGGGGGTTACAGTTCAGGGTTTAGGGTTTAGGGTTTAGGGAGTTTACGGCTTAATATAGGGGCCTTAACAATTAGAATAGGGCTTTGAGGGTATGTTATACTATAATTAGAATAAGGAGCCCTCCCAAAATACTATTGGTAATTATTTAGGCTTCTATATAAGGGTTCCTGGGTTTAGTGTGGGGTACTAGTAAACCGGTCTTTGTTCTTGAGCCAGGTGTCAAGGGAGCGGGGCTCTCGAGCTATGGGGGCTCTCCGGGCACAGACCTTCAGTGGTTGGGGTTCAGGGTCTTTCTGGTCTAGGCTTTTAAGCTATCATGGGGTCCTGGCAGGCAAAAGTGTGCGACAACACTAATGAACGGCGTGGAGCGGCAACGGCAAACAACACTAATCAAAAAAGTGCAGTCACTGATCATTAACTGTTGATAGCGGCCTAAACCCTAAACCCCTAAACCCCTAAACCACTAAACCACTAAACCCCTAAACCCTAAACCCTAAAACGCACGCAAGCAGGCTCCGTCGGTCGAGGGTTTTGACTCATGTAACACCTAAACCCTAAACCCAAAACCAACAGACTGCCTAGGGCTTTGGGATGCCAAGGCCAAGGCTCTGCTGTTATGTAAGGGCCTTAAATAATTAGGGTTTATGGTTTAGGGTTTAGGGCTGTGGGGGTTTCCTTCAAAGCGTTCCTTATGAAAGCGTTCTATAAGGGCTACCATAAGGGTTTAGGGTGTAAGGGCCAAAAATAAATAGAATAGGGCTTTGGGGCCCAGTATACTAGACTTATAATAAGGAACCACCACAATAGTATTGGTAATTATTTATTACCCCTATATTAGTAAGGCTTTCCGGGTTTAGGGCTCAGTGCACGGATGACTCCTGCATGTTGTTCACGTCGTTGATACACCCACGCAGCTCCGAGCCCGTGTTGCGATAGTTGATGCCAACCAGCAACGCTTTCTTTCGGCCACGTGGAGGCCCGGCTGACAAAGCCTCATAAATGGGCTTCCCCTCGCTGCTTGCGCAGCAGCTGGTATTTCCCATGGCTCTTTACTAGCTTGAAACGTAGACTCACTCAACCCTTAGGTGCAACACCCACGGAATAGTAACTGCTGGATCTATCATCCGAAACCCTAAACCCCCAAGCACCCGTGAAGACTGCGACCGACACAGATATGACTCTCCTGGGAGCCGCCAAAGCAGGCAAAGTTGACTGGAGGATGGTGTCAGTAGAGGTTTAGGGTTTAGGGTTTAGGGTTTAGGGTTTAGGGTAGAGCTTGGTAGCATGGCTCCTAAAGAGGCTTTAACGATTGCTGGTTCCCTGTTGGGGCTATGTATAAAGAGGATCATTTCTCATCCGTATTGGGTTTTTATAATAACAAACATGTGAAACTGTATCCAACAAGGACCTAGATTAGACGAGGGATTTGGGGCCCAGCGTGCCACATGGTCTTGCACCTCCAACTTTCTTGACAGATTCTGCAAAACCCTAAACCCTAAACCGTAAACCCAACAGTCGTGGCCTGACCACCCACATATCTTGCTGTCTCGGCGGTTCATAGAAAAGGTAGTCGTTGCCGTTGAGTAGTCACACCTGAACATCCTGAACTCTAATTTGGAAAAAACCGAAACAAAGACTTGTAGCGCACTTAACCCTGAGCCCTAAACCCCAAACATCCCTAAACCCTAAACCCTGAAACCTGCCCAACCCTGTTTTTCTTTCTTCAGTCGTCTTGGCGGCTTTGCAAGGCTTCCCTGCTACAGCCGGGCTGCTCTAATATAGGGGCCTGAGTGATTTGAAATGGGGGTTTGCGGATTCGTCGTCTTCGAAAGATCAAGATAATGAAAGAACAGTCTCCGATGCCCCTGTATGAAGCTAGCTTTGGCCAGATGCTTTGCTGCAACTGCACCTTCAGGCAGCGCGACATCCCCCCGGCAAGGTCGAAGCGACTTAAAACTAAAACAAGCACAAGGGAAAGGACGTAGTGAACATCCCCTCCAACAGCCTCCGAGAGAGCTTTGCACGAAACGTGCCTTGCGAGCCTCATTGGAGCGGCTCGCAGCTGCTCTGCGAAACATCCCGACACGCTGCACAGCTCGAGATCCAATGTTTAAGCCTAGTGCCCTCGCGCGTAGAAGACCGTAGGCCCTGAAACGCCAAAGCCCCTATGTGCGAAAATCCGTCTACGCTGCCATCAGGAACGACCTCCCTCGGAGATGGCGACGCCAAGCACCATGACACAGCCTCCGGCCAAAGACAGATTCTTCTGGATGTGCAGGTAGTGTATCTTCTCTCCTCGCTACCAGGAACAGACCAGCAGTCTCAATTTGCTTTGCTGGGGCCCTAAACCCTAAACCCCTAAACCCTAAACCCCTAAACCCTAAACCCTAAACCGTTGAACAACCCAGTCCTGACTGCAAATAGGGCTTCAGGTGGCTGAAGTAGGTGGAAACGAGCAGGAAGGTCAAGAAACCCAGGGCGCCGAACTCCACAAGGATCGCTACACCTTAAGGTTTAGGGTTTAGGGTTTACGGAATGATCCCCAAAAGGTTTCGAGGTCATATACTATGTTGGGATTCATAGTATAAGGGTATAGGGCCCCTACTTTTAAGGGTCATTTGGTCCCCAAGGCACCACTCACGTAGAGGAAGGAAGACACCAGCAGGAGCATCACCACGAGGAGGGCAAAAAGCCGAGCTGCACAACGGCCAAGACCAGATTCCCTGATCATCCCAACCTCGTGTGGCGCCCAAGCCCTAAATCCTAAAACCCCAAAGCCCTTAACCCTAAAACCCTTTCCCTAAAGCCCTGAAGCCCGAAAGCACTAAACCCTACCATCCAAATGAGGTCACAATGGCTCCAAAGCCATGGAAGCTGACGTACTTGCGCTACCGGCCGTTTCTCAAGACTAGGGGTTCCGCACTCAGGGGATTGAGGGCTTAGGGTTTAGGGTTTAGGGTTTAGGGTTTAGGGCTTAGGGCTCCTTGTAATAACAAGCCTCTTCTGCAGTGCTTGTATGAGGGTCCCTCGTATCTTTCATCGCAGACGTCCGTCAGCAACTGAGACAAGCACCAGCTTATTGATGTCCATCGCGTAGTGGAGACATGAGAAAAGAAACCTAGGTGTCCAAATCATCAGCCCTTTGAAAAATTATAGCTGGGGTTTTGGTAAGCCCAAGAGGGGAAGTTGCACGTATTCTCCAAACGAACTATATGCCATAAATGATACTCTAACTCTTCAATCAAGCTAAAAACGACAACGAGAAACGGCGTAGTAAAGAGTACCATCCCGGAAGACTGAAGGATCCAGGAATAGGGACGGAAAGAGGCCCAGCATGCTTCCAGCATTTCGTGAAGAGACCTTCCTCGGACATCCAGTATCCATGTAACAACAATGACAGCACCCTAAACCCTAAACCCTGAAACCCTAAACCCTAAACTACGCTGCTTCCTGTTGTGTAAGTCAGTTTGAATAAGGAGACCCCAACTTAAAAAGGCAGAGGGGTAGCATAGGGGAGTTTCCGAAAATGGGGGACCCTAATATAGCACCCTAAATAGTAGGATCCTTATTATAAGGACCCCAAAGTAAGGTACCCCTAATTTTCGGAAACTCCCATATGGGGGACCGAGCTTCCATCAGTCTGTGAGTCCGGCACGGCCCGAGTCTGCGACACTTCGAAGCCGACGGTGGCAAGGCAGTGCCCACACATGCCGATGTTCTTCCTGCTAAACCCGGCTTAGGGTTTCGGGTTTAGGGGTTTAGGGTTTAGGGTTTTAAACCCTAAACCCTAAACCCTAAACCCTACTGTCAGCCCCATTTATAGAAATAGCATCCATATACTCCCCTGGATTACAAGAATAAAAATATATATATATATATATATATAGTCCAAACGAAGACTTCCTTGGGCATACATTGAACAATCAGGCTGAAGCATAACCCCTAACGAGAGCCCAGCCGCAGCATCATGAAGAAGTGGCTCAGGTCATTGGATTGCTTCCAGGGCTTGTAGTGTCCAAAAAAGGTTGAAGCAATCCTCAACATTTAGTGAGGCTGAGGCTTCATAGGGCTTGCAGTTGGGGTTTAGCTTAGGGTTCAGGGAATATCGGGTTTGCGATGCTTAAATGAAAGCATCATCGTGAAGTCGCCTTATGTGAAGGCTGCATTAAAGCACAAAGACACAAATCCGACCCTAAACCCTAAACCCTAAACCCCAGAGGCCTCGAGCACTAGCCAAAGGCAGCATGAGTAATGCAGGGGCCTTAATAATTAGAATAGGGTTTCTGGCTCTTTTATGGTATTATAATGACGAACCATAGGGAATAATGTTGGTAACTATTTAGACTTCTATATTAGGTCATGGCGAGGTACAGAAACATCAGCAGAAGCACCGTGCCCAGCAGCATCCAAATGTTGATGCCTGACGTAGACCACAAAAATCACCCTTCCCCGTCCGACTTCCTACCTACCCTAATTAGACCCTAAACCCCAAAAACTAAACCCTAAACCGTCATCCTAAACTCTAAACTCTAAACCCTAACCCTAAAACCTACACCCCAAACCCTAGGGACCCTCAACCCTTCAGCCGTCTGGGCTTCGGCTTTTTGGAAGAGGGGGCGGGGAGGGGGGGGGGGTTAGGAGCGTAGGGTTTAGCGGCTCAAGTTGTGCATCGGACCCGTCCTGCCTAAGCATGTGGGGAGTAATATGGGGGCCCTTAATAATTAGAATAGGCTTTCGGGCTATATGAATTAAACTATAACTACAGTAAGGATCCCCCCAAAATAGTATT